CACACGGGGTGGCACAGAGGAGTGGGTGTGGGTCCCAATTCTGCCACCCACAGGCTACGCGATTTTTTTTTTTAAATTTTCCATGGGTCAGCCAACTTCCACGTCCTGCCCCAGAATCTCTGAAATAGTAACTGTGTGTGGTTTGCAGCCATTGACTGTGTAGTAACGTGTTCAGGGGATGATGGAAAACAAGCAGCCCACCATGACCCACACAGCATACATGCAGATGCTGTCACCTCTGAACTCAAGCCTTGCTCTTCCTTGTGGTGCACTTCCTCTGGCCACAGGAGTCCATCTGGAATTTACCACCCCTGCAGGGGCAACCCTGCCCCAGGACTGCTCTTGCCCCTGCTGGGGCATTCTGAGATTTTCTGCACTGTCCCCTAGAGTTCTCTGAGAGACTGAACCCCGGTTGCCCACAGGGTGACTTGATGATCAACCTGTTGAATTCCTTCCCTTCCTGGTCTCACCCCCTCACTCCCCTGAACTGCTTCTTGGGGTCACCTCCCAAATACACAACTGGCAGCACTTCCGTGTCTTAGGATCTGCTTCAAAAACTCCCAGCCGAGGACACTCAGCTTCCAGAGCTGCGGTGAGGGAGTTCTTCTTTTTGTCACTATGACCATAAGGCCTGACAAGAAAAATGTAAAGGAAGAAAAGATTATTTTGGTTCCTGGTTTCAGAAGTCTCCTTCCATAGATAGCTGACTCCATTGTTCTTGGCCCCAAGGTGAGGCCAAACATCAAGGGAAAAGAACATGGCGGAGGAAAGCGGCTCAGGACATGACTTCAAGGAAATAGAGAGAGGACTGCATGCCCCCTCACTCACCAGGACAAAACAGGAACCCCAAAGGCACTATCCCAGTGACTACCATCCTCCAGCCACACCCCACCTGCCTACAGTTACCTCTACCTTGTAACCACCCACTATTTGGTCAGCCCTCTCATGATCTACTCATGTCATCTGGAAACCTTGCAGTCTCACACCTGTGCACTTGGGGGGACACCTCATCTCTAAACCATAACAGTTCTACTACATTTTCTCATATGAATACTAAGGGTCACCTCCCTTCTGAGGTTTGCATTAAACAGGTATGAAGTGACCAAGAGGACACAAGCTTCAGAGTTACACAGATGAAGCTTTGAATTCCAGCTCTGCTATTTAATAACTGAAAAGTTCAGGTGAGTATTCACCCTGTCTAGGTGAATAACTAAGTTTCCTTCTCTGCAAAATGGGACTCATGTCTGCCTTTCATTTTGTAAAATTTGTATGAAGCAATGTACGTAAAGTGCTTGTCTTCAGAGGCACTATGTGTGGAGCATGACATGAACTGTTTTCTAAAAACTTCACAGCTAAGAAAAATAATGAAAACTTTGTGCTGGGGATACAGCTCAGTTGGTAGAGTGGTCGCTTCGCATGCACAAGGCCCTGGGTTCAATCCCCAGCACCACTAATGATAACAACAACAACAACTTTGTCTTAAAATAGTGGGCAGCAAAGCCGCAGGTCTCTTAAAGCATAACATTTTTATGTGGTAGCTTCACAGCCAGCAGGGCTGAGGTCCAGCACCCTTGGTTCCCAGATGGGGAATTTGAGACCTGATGAGGCAAAAGAATCTTGTTCCACGTTACAGAGCTAATTAGTGCAATTGAAATCTCTTGTGCTAAATCACTGCATTTAATATTCATTGTTATCAAGTTAATCTTGCTATTTCCAAATACTTACCTAATTAAGCTATCAATGATCAGTTTTTTGTTAGCAAACATTTTAATTAAAGTATGTTTCCACTTACAAAGGTTATTTCAATTTCTTTTTAATTTTTTTTTAATTTATTTCAATCATCAATTAGGGAGATCTAGAAAATTCAGGATGTTCTCCTACTTCGCTCCTTTGAAATCACCTATTTTTACTTTGGGGGTAAAAGTACCTCTTTTCATCATCATTTGGTGTCCTTGTAGATCTATTTGGATTTTTTTCATTTTGTTTGTGAAAGAATAAATTCAAAGTGATGCTTTAAAAAGTGATCAGGTGGACAATTCTGATGTGAGTCCTGAGAACAAGCTAATAATACTCCTTAAGGAAACTTCTGAATTACAAAATAAGCAGCACGAGGGGCCAAGGACAACAAGCCAGGGGGCTTTTCTGAAATCAGGGTTTTTTTTTCCTCTCCTGTTAACAATGGTCAGCTGTCCGGCCACATTCAGGAAAAGTCCTGTTAATTAACCTGCCCACCCGTACTTTTTCTTCCTCTCTGGGAATTCACCAGAGTTGGCTCATTTTGAAGATATTCCCATTAGTTAGTCCTTAAATCCCTACACAGAGAGCAGAAGCTTCCAGATAAGGTGCTGCCAAACAGGAAACACAAAATACAATCCAAATTGTAAGTCTCAGAATCATCCAGGAAGCTCAAGGAGAATTAATGGAATTAATGAGCCCTCTGCGAACAGAGGAGAAAAAAGAATAAATTAATAAATATACATATACACACTGGTGTCAATTTGTCAGGGGCTCTTCCTTTTCTTTGTTTCCATGAATGAAAACTGAAAACAACAACTCATCATAAATATCCCTTGTATTTACCCAGCACTGTCAAAATTCATTTCCCAAGAGTAGGATCCATGATTAACTTTAGTGAAATTCTGGTCAAAATGCTGGTACCTATGTATATTTGAGCACCCCAAATGGACTTTATCAGATATTTCCTCCAAATTAGATACTCTGGGTCTATACATCTCAAAGTGTGGTGAAGTCAGATTGCTCCGTCAGAACCACCTCAAATATTCGTTTGAAGCACGAATTCCTGGGTCCCATCTGGAATGATTAAGTCAGTGTCTCTAATTATTGATCTGAAGTTGTATATTATAAATGAGATGCTCAAGTGATTCTTCTTCATACTCTAATCTGAGAACCCCACTTCTTCATTGGGTGTGGAGAGCAGAGTGGGAGAGAGCTGGAGTTCCTACTCCACCCAGATGTTCATCTGTCTGCAAACCCCCAGTGAGTGACTCAGCTTTCCTGAGAAATGAATTTGCAGGGACCTACACCAATTCTGCATCAAATGTACTTATGTGGGGGCTGGGGATGTGGCTCGGGCGGTGGCGCGCTTGCCTGGCATGCGTGCGGCCCGGGTTCGATCCTCAGCACCACATACAAAACAAAGATGTTGTGTCCGCCGATAACTGAAAAATAGATGTTAAAAAAAGTTCTCTCTCTCTATCTCTCTCACTCTCTCTTTAAAAAAAAAAAAAAAAAATGTACTTATGTTTTTATCAAATAAGAGCTGCCACTGTGTAATGTAGTTGTACACTGATTAATTTTATTTCACAGTTTTCTGTGTGCAAGAATTTCTTATGTTCTGCTTGTATTCTACAAATAAGATTGGGACTTGATTAGGATTCCCCCTTTACCTAAGTCTCTGCAAAGGTAACTTACATATTATCAAAGTAGTTTTTTTTTTTTTTTTTTTTTTTTTTTGGTGGTGGTGGTTTAGCAAGGCTGTCAAAAATAAGTACTTTGAGGTGACATAAACTTCCCCAGAGGAGGAGAGCGGGAAGACCAGGAGACAGGCTGCCTAGTCTCCCAGTGACATTGGCAGTGAGGACCCTAACACAAATCGACATCTCCATGGAGGCCCTTTCACTTGTGGTTATGGACAGAGCTACTTTCCAACAGACCCCTGTCCACAGATAGCCACGGTTAAGATTCTAGCATTTGCTTGGGGACACCAATCCTCAGGCTGGCCCTCCCTCCCTCCTTCAGGGGTGCCCCTTTGCCATGGAGATGAGAATGTCTGGGCCCAGGCACAGAAGCAGGGGTGGTTAACATCTCCATCTCCAATTGAAGGGCGTGGGGGGCAGAACAAGGGACTTCCAGGAAAAGGGAAGATCAAGTGGGAACCCTTGGCGCCTGGGAGGGGACAGCGCAGCCCAGGAGGCGCAATCTGGGCTGCGCCTGTGTCTGCACTTGTTCTTTTTTTCCTTTCCTCTCCCCCATGGAGGGGTGGGGAGGGATCCCCAAGAGGGAGGTTGTCCCAGGGACACTCAGCCACATCCTCAGAGCTTGGGAGACACAGTGGAACGGAGGCCCCTCTCACTGGCCTGTTTCTTGGGGGAATTCTGAATTGTGTAGAAGGCGGATAACAGTCAACAGCTCCAGCTACTCAAGTCTCTCCCCATTAGCCCTCCCACCCCTGCCCAGGTCAGAGCCCTGCGGAGATCCTGACAGCACCAACAGGGGCAGCTCAGAGTCCCTCTGTTTCCCTCCCCTGGCCCCTGCAGTCCTGGGGCTTCTCCAGGGGAGGTCAGTCTGTGGCCTGTTCAGTGACCCTGGGGAGCCTGAGGAAAGCCCTGCAGCTCCCAGCACCCACCCAGGGACAGGGACATAGGAAACACCCTGGCAGAATGCAGGATGATTGTTAGGGTGAGTGGATTTACCCCTGCTTGAAACATCTGTGCACTAATTACCTTCCTCGCCCAACTCTTCACCCCTTTCTCCCTTCCTTCCTCTGGTACTGAATTTCTCCTGGAAGCTTTCTCAGTACAAATTTCCAATAATCATGTTGCCCTTTGGCCTTGGAGGGAACTTGCTTTTGAGTCAGGTTCCCAAGAGAGGTGCAGCTGAGGGTGCAGGGCTCCCTGCAGGCAGAGCCAGGCCTGCTTGGCCTGCACCCTTGGTACACTTTCTCCCTATCTGCTTATGAAACTGATCGGTGCCACAATTATGCGAACAACATTACAGTAAACAAAGTCTTAAAACATTTTAAAGACCTAGACTTTATGCTTTGGAATTAAAAGTCGTGCATCTTTCAACAGAAATGTAATACAAGGGAGAATTAACTTTGAGGGGTAGCACTTCTGACATCACTGTAATTTTTAGCATTGTAAATATTACCAGGAAACTTCTGGATGCCTTGGTGATTTCCTCCTGACTGGATTTGGACAGTCTCCTGTTGCTCACAGGATGTGAGCCCTGCTATAAAGGGCCCCGCAGAGGCGAAGCTCAACAGGGCTTGGCTTGGCTGATTTCACATCACAAGTGCCAGAGGATCAGGAGACAGAAGCATCCCAACACACCTGAGCAGTGTGAGCCGAGGAGCACCGCGCAGAACTGTAAGTGCAGACTCCTTTGCAAGAGCAGCCTTGGGCCATGAAACAGATTCATCAGAATGAACTGATGTGTAAACAGCCTCTGGTAAGAGATCTGTGCAAGCTTTAATTGTAGTGTGGTTAAAGCCTGTCTTTTCTCTTTCACCTAAATGAGGACGATCTTAAAATTTATTCATTCATTCCAGTAGCATCTCTCAAATAAGCTGTGGCACTGGAATCCTTTATCTCAAATCTTATGCTGGTGCCTAAACACCAGGCTCGAATGACTAGAGTAATTGGCTGCCTAACATTTCCTTCTGTAATTAATTTTTCTCCCCAGGAAAGTACTTCAAGTCCAATCCATCGGTGAGAAGAAGTCCTGAGGCCATGATTGCTTCACAGATTCTCTCCACTCTCACTTTTGGTAAGTCAGATTCTCTCCACTCTCACTTTTGGTACCACTGGACCAGGGTTTCTCATCGCCTCCCTACTGACATTGTAGACCAGGATATTCTTCCTCGTGTGGGGCTGTCCTGTACAGAGGGTGTGTAGCAGCATCCCTGGCCTCTTCCTGCCTGGCACTAGGGAAATTCACTTCTTAGTGTCATATTTCCGTATGTGTAAAACGTTGATCAAAAATGGCCTACGTAGGCACTGTGACAATTCAATGGAACAGTAGTTTAGGTACATGTGGGGACATCTTGACAAACTTGAAGAAGGCAACAATCTGACTGCACTGTGTGATTTTTTATTCCAAATATAAAATTCCAAAATATGTTATTTTCAGTTGAGAAGTGCCTCACACCGCGCCTGGTGGCTCATACTAAGGGCTCAATACTGCAGAGTCACCAGCAGAATAACAAATTTGTTACGAAGGTGGGGACAACAAAGCCCTGGGGGTGGTTGGCCACAGAAATGGTGCACAGGAAACTCTTCTTACTTTTGAAAAGGTGAAAAATTTTTGTCACTCCAAATCCAGAGACTGGCATAAATAAGACAGTAAAAACCCAGAGAGCTAGAGTTAAGCCCAGCAGGACTAAACGCTGCCTTTCTCTCTTGTTCCACCCCTAGTGCTCCTCATTAAAGACAGTGCGGGCTGGACTTACAATGTGTCCAGGGTAAACATGACTTATGATGAGGCCAGTGCTTACTGTCAGCAAAGGTACACACACCTGGTCGCAATTCAAAACAACGAGGAGATCGAGTACCTGAACGCCATGTTGAGCTATTCTCCAAGTTATTACTGGATTGGCATCAGAAAAGTCAACGGTGTGTGGATCTGGGTGGGGACCCAGAAGCCCCTGACTGAAGAAGCCAAGAACTGGGCTCCAGGAGAACCCAATAATAAGCAGAAAAACGAGGACTGCGTGGAGATCTACATCAAGAGACCAGAAGGTTCCGGCATGTGGAATGACGAGAGTTGCAGTAAAAGGAAGCTCGCGCTGTGCTACACAGGTAGGGAGCCACAGGCAGCCACATCCTGACGACTCACAGTGGCAGCCACTGGTCTCCACTGTGGCCTCTTTGCTCTGAAACATGTGATTTGAAAACCCGGTGTTCCTGCCAAGGCCCCCCTTTACTCCTTTGCACAGATGTAGGCAAGAACGTGTGCACATGTGTAGTGTGAGCACACGTGGGGAGGCCACACCCCTACAGAATGCCACATAGACACACTGTGGCAGCTCAGGTGCTGGTTTGCTTGTGTCAGGGGAAGTGTCTCGTGGCGTGTGCTGAGGGAGTCTCTGTGCATGGTGTAGTTGCAGCCCCTCCTGACACCTCCAACATTAACATCAAGTATGGGAGACGAACCTGGAGCTCAGGTTTGGCATTTTGTGAGGCACATTAAAATCTCGGGCACCCCATAACTTAGGTGACGTCATTACATGCGGCTGATCCTAAATTGTGAGGAATTTCCCACAAGCACCACAGACCTGTCCTCACGGCTGTGTTTCCTGCAGCTGCCTGCACCCAAGCCTCCTGCAGCGGCCACGGGGAGTGTACAGAGACCATCAACAACTACACCTGCAGGTGCCATCCTGGCTTCAGTGGACTCGAGTGTGAGCACGGTAAGTGTGTCGTCACCTTCTCTTCACTTGAGACAAGGCACCATCCCCTGCCCCAGGTGGGCTGGAGTCGGGCCTGCAGGTCCTCCTTTCCCTGGACCCAGTCATAGCCTGTCTTCCCATCCCCCCAACCCCCCTCCGTCCGAGGTGAAAGCTGGCAGAACTGACTTGGGTCCCTTTTCCAGCTGTGACCTGTAAAGCACAGAAAGACCCTGAGCACGGGAGGCTGGTTTGCACTTCACCCTTTGGGACCTTCAGCTACAATTCCTCCTGCTCCGTCAGCTGTGACAGTGGCTACCTGCCAAGCAGCGTGGAGACCACCCAGTGTAGGTCCTCTGGGGAATGGAGTGCTCCTCTTCCCACCTGCAGAGGTAAATCTCCCCCAGAATGCACAGGGCGTCCCCAGCTCACCCTTCTCTAACCCAGGTTCCCTTCCTACTCCTTGCAAACCCCAGGGAGTACCCCCCCCCCCGCCCCACCCCCTGCTATCTTTAGTAAATCTTATTTACTTGGTTTGAGGGAGGTTTATATTCTGTGTTTGAAGTGGGAAGTTCTGAGGTTCTGGTGACTTACAAAGGAGACTATCAGGGAAATGCAGAACCGCCCTGCAGAATCCTAATGACCTCCCTTCTCTTCTCCCTTCCCTGTCTGCCTCACCCTGCCCTGCGACTAGCTTAAGACAAGGACCACCAGCAGGCTCAGCATCTCCTTTTTCTGTCTCAATCTTATTTTTCTGGAGAAGAGACAAAAAAATTCCGTCCTTCTGATCCCATTCAATTTGTACGTCAGCGTTGTTATCATCACAACTAGTCAAAAATCCTGACCAGTAATCTGTTTTTTATTCATTTTTGCCTTTTTATAAATGGAGACCATTTTGCACAAAGTAAAAATAGATAGGAAAAGATGGAAACATTGATAAAAACAGACAACAGCTTCATTGTGAGTGATTATGTTCCCAAGCATTGACTTTGGGATCTGCCCTTCGAATGTGGCTTCCTCACTGTTATGAATTCCAAGTTAATAGGAGGTAAAAATAGGCTTCTGTGAAATTCATGGAGCTTTTTCAACTCCCCAGTGGTGGAGTGTGCTGCTTTGACAAATCCAGCCAATGGAACCATGGATTGTGGCCTGGGCCCTGGACGCTCCCCCTGGAACACCACATGTACATTTGGCTGTAAGGAAGGATTCGAACGAGTGGGAGCTCAGAACCTCAAGTGTACCTCCTCTGGGAACTGGGATGACGAGAAGCCCCTGTGTAAAGGTAGAGTGTCCACGTTGGGCGAAGTAAGCATTCTCTTTCTCAACCTACACTTGAAGTGGGCAAGCCAGCCTTGCTGATATAAATGGGAACATGTGTTTCAGCTGTGACATGCGAAGCCATCCATCGGCCTCAGCATGGCTCTGTGCACTGTAGCTACTCCACTGCTGGAGAGCTCACCTTCAAGTCCTCCTGCAAATTCAGCTGCAAAGGGGGCTTCAGGCTGCTGGGACCAGCCCAGGTTGAATGCACAGCACAAGGGCAGTGGACACAGCAAACACCAGTGTGTACAGGTGAGCCAGGGATTCTCTCCTTTCACTTTCCTTTCTAAAAGATCTTCAAGCTTGCACAGGGGAAATGAAAGCACATGTCCATTTTAACCACAGATGTCAGATTTGATGAGTGACATTCATACCTGAGACTCATGTGAAAGAAACAGGGAAAGTCTGTATATAGTAGCATGAGCAAATGCTTTGCTGGTTTTAGAAAATGCTGTGTTAATATACTTTGTAGACAGAGGCATGGAATAGGCAGAATTCTTAGTCTAAAGAAAATCACATTAGAAAATTTAGAAAGCAGAATAAGAACATGACCTGAAGCTGAAACTCTTCTCATTCCTCCTTTCTTCTGCAACTGCTAGTATCTAGCAGTGATGGGGAAGCCCCTTGTGTGGGTCAGGTGGGAGATGGCTTTGCGCACACATGAGCACTGAAACTTAACTCCAGGATATTGGAGACTTGCAGATTTCTTATCAGGCACCAGCTTCCTCATAGCAAATACAGCATGGAATGGTTTCCAGGGGCAAAGAGCAGCAACCCCAAAGCCAGCTACAAGCTGGCACATATTCCTGGTGCCTTCTTCTCTTCCTTTCTTTTTGGCCATCTGCACGCATCCAGGATCTGTAATTGCCCTCTGGACGCATAAAATCTTTCCTTTGACTTAACTTCTTTTGCATGTCAGAAGAACAGTGCTCAATTCCCGGTTAATGGCTGCTGTTTAGTAGATGCCATTATAGGTGAGGGCCTGGAACTCAAAGGAAACAGCCATCTTCCCAGTTGGTCAGGGAATAACGAGGAGTCTCTACTTTTGGGGTGTTGCTTAGTCCTAAATGAACTGGGTTTCAAATACCAAATGGCCTGCAGTCTCTCAGTGGTATTTTCTGACCACTGTTTTGAGCCTCAGCTCTGCAGGGTAGAGCTTTATCCAGCCCAGAGTGAGGCCAGGTGGTTTGTCTTCCTGGTGCTTCTGGAGACTCCAACATAGATCCAGCTGTGGGTTCTCCTGGGAGCCAGGATTTTCTTTGCAGAGGAATCCAAGGGCTCCAGTGTGGCCTCGCAGGGGACTGGGACAGTGAGAGCCCAGATATGAAGAAACATCTTTGTTTCTACTTGGCTTTAAGACAGAAGCTATTGGGGAGCCCAGGGCGGGGGTGCTGCCTGGAGAACCCTGCAGCCATGCAGCACACGGGGCTCCACAGGGCTCACTCTTGCCTTCCAGCTGTGCAGTGCGATGCTCTCCCTGTGCCCCTGAATGGCTCCGTGAAGTGCTCTCCTTCCCCTACTGGAGAGTTCACCTACAGGTCCTCTTGCACCTTCCACTGTGACGATGGCTTTGACTTACATGGATCAGCTCAACTGGAGTGCACATCTCAGGGGCAGTGGACACACGAGGTCCCCTCCTGCCAAGGTAGGGTGAGTTCAGACTTGAGGGTGCAGGTCACGTGCCTCATAAGATTGTGAGCCTCAGTGGTCTCAGGGGGCTTGATTCTAATTTCCCACATGCTGAGTTCTATGTAGTGTTTATAAGTTAGGCTTGTCGGTGACTTGGGCCACTTTACAAGTTTGCAGCAGATGTTTCCTAACCCCCCCACCCCCCATGTGCCTGTCATTTGCAGTGGTACAGTGTTCAAGCCTGGCAGCTCCAGGAAAGGTCAACATGAGCTGCAGTGGGGAGCCTGTGTCTGGCACTGTGTGTGAGTTTGCATGTCCTGAGGGCTGGATGCTCAATGGCTCTGCAGCTCTGACATGTGGTGCCACAGGACACTGGTCTGGGACGCTGCCTACCTGTGAAGGTAATGCATTGGTTGATGCTGGTTGTCTGGGTGACCAGAGAGAAGCGAGGGAGCTGTCTTACTAGAGCAATTAAAGAAGCACTGGGCCCATATCAGAGTGGTTAAGCATCTGCACATATTTAAGCTTATGGAGACAGGAAGAAAACGGTAGATGTGGCATGTGGACGGAATGGGCAGAATTCTAACAGTGGCAAAGAAGACCTGGAGGGGAAAGGAAGAGGGTGAAACAGAAAGTGTGTGTGGGGGGCGGGGGGCGGGGGGTGGCTGAGCAAGTACAGCACAGTGTCCAGCAGGGCAGGGTGAGGGGTGTGAAAGAGCTGGCAGGGTAGAGTTCTGCCTGGCAGAGCTGGGGCAGCCAGGGGGAGCTGGACAGGTCTAAAGGGCCGGTTAGCCACCTCTGCCTCATGACTTGAACCAGATGGGGCTTCTGCTCCTGGGTACGAGGTGATAGAAAAGGAGAAGTGGACGGACAGAAAGACTTTCAAGCCAGCTCCTCATGCCCATCCTCCCCTCTGTTGCCGCAGCTTCCCCCGAGTCCAGCACTCCCTTGGCAGCTGGACTTTCTGCTGCAGGAACCTCCCTCGTGGCACTGGCGTCAGTCCTCCTCTGGCTTCTGAAATACTTTCGGAAGAAAGGTGCGGGAGCTTATGAATGTGCTCCAAATATGTTTTCTCATTGATGAGTTATGGTTTCTCTTATAAATTTAGACAGTTACTAGAATCTAGTAATTGCACAAACACTAATATACTGCTTTATAATTAAGCAAAAGTCTTAGGAAGAGTTCATAAAGCAACATGAAATTTGAAGTATTTTAGGAAATATAAATGTTAGCTGTGTTAACCTTGCTCAACTCCAGGAGGTGCTACTTGCTTTTTATTCTGTGTTGTCTCTGGAGTTGTGCAATGGGACTGACATGATTTGTGCTCCTGGGAAGTTGGATAAATGTTTCCTTAAAAAACTATTTGGAATACAGTCTTATTTTGGAATATTGCCTAAGGAATATGTGAACATATCTATTCATACTCATGGTTTGTTTGGCTTAAAGAGTATCGAAAAACACATTATTTATTTATTTTTTAAATCCCGGTTATTGAACCCAGGGGATCTTAACCATATGATCTTAATCACATCCCCAGCCCTTTGTATGTTTTATTCTAAGACAGGGCCTTGCTAAATTGCTGAGGCTGGCTTTGAACTTGCAATCCTCCTGCCTCAGCCTCCTGAGTGGGGGATCTTAACCATATGATCTTAATCACATCCCCAGCCCTTTGTATGTTTTATTCTAAGACAGGGCCTTGCTAAATTGCTGAGGCTGGCTTTGAACTTGCAATCCTCCTGCCTCAGCCTCCTGAGTTGCTGCGACCGCAGCCATGTACCATCTCACTTGCAGGAAAATGTTAAAACTACTTCAGACATTTAAGAAATAAGAAAGTCTATGTAAAAAACAATTCCTGACTTGGGCTTGTCCTTTTATTGTTGTGCACTTTGCATTTGCCTTAGTCACCAGGTTATATTGTGTCTGGATTGGCAATGTCCTTAAAGGCCATTTGGTCTAAAGGAATGGTTTTCTTTCTTTTGCAGCAAGGAAATTTGTCCCTGCCAGGTAAGCTGCATTCTTGTACAAAGCATTCTGTGAACCTTCTAAACAGTTTCCTCTCTTCATGTGGAAACAGTGGCTTATTACTGTTCTCACCTGTCCCACAGCAGCTGCCAAAGCCTTGAATCCCATGGAAACCGCCAGGTGCCTCTGGACTCCATCTAAGCTCGAAGGAGTCTGGTAAGACTTGCAAGTGGCATGTCATGAGGGAGCATCTCCCTAGGCGTTTGGCTCATCCTTGGGCCCCTTCCAGCCTGCATTGTCCTCAGGACCTCTCCATCTCCATGGCACTTACTGGAAAGGTGTTTTGTTTCTTTGCAGGAGAGGGAAGAAACAGAAATCTGGCTTTCTTGAGCCATTTCCTTTATGAAAGATAATAATGATGGTGACAACTGACCCTTATGTGGCACTTACTGTGCCCTAGGAACTGTTCTAAGCTAGGAACTCCATGAGATAGGATGATTATTCTATTTCTCCTGACTTAGATGGAGCAGAGGAGGCAGAGAGAAGCGAAGTGACTTGCCTGAAGTCTCAAAGCTCCTAAGTGGTGTAGCAGGATTCAAGCACAGGCAGTGTGGTTCTAGAATCTGTGTTCTTAAACATCTGCTCTGCTTTGTGAGGATTTGGAAGGGTCAAGTAAAGTCCCTTGAAATACTTAAAAAAATATTATATGATTTTTGTGCAACTTTAGATTAATGGAAAAATTGAAAAATCTTAGAGTTACCAGCATCTTGAACTAGCATGATTCATTTGATGCAACTGATGGATCAGTATAGATGCATTACTATTAGTTAAAGTCCCCAGGTTACTTTAGTGTTCACTGTGTTGTGCTTTCTGCAGGGTTTAACAGATATGTAATCACCTGTAGCCACCATTACTGTGCCGTAAAGAATAGTTTCCCTGTTCTAACTGAACAGCACTTGATGTTGCTATTTGGGTGGCCCCAGGCAGAATGCACAGTAGCCTGTGCTGGGATGTGCATTTTGTTGTCACTTACAGTATGCATTATGCTGAAGTTTTCTGGTGACATGCACGTTTGCTTGCGCTTGCAGGAACACTGGTGCATCCCGGGAACTAGACTGAACCACTGAAGACAGCAGAGGTGTCCTGCCCCCTGGCCTTCCTGGCCCATTGTCCTATGCCTTGACAGCTGGGACCATGACTTCAGTGGATTAAGTTCAGAGCCAAGTGCAGTCTTCCACCAAAAAGACTCAATCTTCTCGTTCCTATTCTCAGGACGAAGAAATTGCTGGCTAGGCTATTAGAGGAGAGGGTCTTCTTCAAAGCAAGCTGAAGAAATCAAGAGTCTGGACTCTCAGAATTCCTTTCCTAACTCTCGGTTGGAAGCTCTGAATCTCAGTGGAGAAACAATGTTTTCTGGCTCTGTTTCTCTTGTCCCTCACTGTGTTGCAACTGCTAGTTACAGTATTGCATTTAGAGGAGTACATAATAATTATCAACAGTTTACAGGAAACCAATTGTCCAGTGATATTTGGCTTCCAACTTGGGGGTGGGGGATACACGACAAGATTTTTAATGCCCAGAGACAACTGCACAGAAGGCTGTTGGTGGTGCGAGGTGCAAATCCTACTTAGTACTCAGTGCCAGGATCACCAAGCATGGTCCTGATCATGTCCCTGTGGGACTCAGGGCTTTTAAAGTGTTCTTAGAGGTAGTATTCGTCCTATTTGCCTTGAATATAGTATGCTCCTCCTCAATTCTTAATTTAGAACAAGGTTTACAAGGGACTTTTGACATTGGTAGGTGTTGTCGACTATGATAGGGTAAATATTCCTGATCTAGGTTGCCACCTCCTTGTTTATTAACAAATTTAAATTTGCATTTGCTGTAGATTTATGTAAACAAACATGCAAACCAGTATGATGTTCTGAGGTTTTACTGCAATTGTGTGGGACATGATGCTCTCAGGAGAGTGAAAACTGAACACAGGGTTTGATTCTTGTTACCAGAGTTTTACACAAATTATTGCTTTCCATGATGAAACTTCCATGAGGCCAAATTTTCTGATTTGATAAAAGCATCATAAATGTATGAATTGTCAAGATCATTGTAAAGTCATGTGTAGCTAATAAAAAAAGCATCAACACAAACAAATGAAGGTACAATTTTGTGACTTTCTTTGTAAAAATAAATGTAGACATATTGATGTGCTTTGCCCTCCTACAAAGGGGTTTGCCAAATGTCTGATGTAAATACAATTCTTTTGTATTATGTAAGATTTTAAATGCATAGGAATTCACCACGTAAAGTACCAAGTGGATTTTCAGAGTGAAAAGTCTAATGATTATTTTTAGTCGTTTTATTCTGTATATTAGTATCCCTGGAAGAGAGTGTTAGGTTTCTAAGGAGAGTTTAAAATTACTAAGGAATTTCCAGGTATCACCGACAATGAGACATTCCTGGTCAGTAAGTGCCAAAGCTGCCCACATCAAAGCTTTCCCACATTTCTTTTAACTTAGCATGTTGAAGAGGAACATTTCAAGTAAGTGCTGCCTGAATGTTGGCAGGGCAGAGCCAGCAGTAAACAGGGAGGTGTGATAAAGATGAGAAAGCAGTGGTTTCTTAAGGGGCAGAAGGACTCAGGGAAGGGGGACTATTGTGATCAGATTACATATGGAAAGAGTTATTATTTTCTCTGAAATTGCTCAAATGTTGTAAATATTTACATATTCTGCGTTAGAAATAACTGCATGAAATACAAATGTGGTGTGTTTGGGCTTCAAATAGTATTTTAAATTATGACTTAGAGTATTTTACAGTTTTAATGTGTGTATTTATTTAAGGTTTTGCCAGGTTTATTATATTTGACATAGCAGTTAAAGTCTGACAATAAATGTGTGCATATTTATCTCTGTATAGGCTCTTTCTTAAAACTTTAATTGCAGCTGGGTGCAGAGGTGCATGCCTATAATCCTAGAGGCTCATGAAGCCAAGGCAGGAGGAGGAGGAAGAGGATCACAAGTTCAAAGCCAGCCTCAGCAATGTAGCAAGATCCTATCTCAAAATACAAATAAATACATAAAAGGGCTGGGTGTGTGGCTCAGTGGCTGAGTGCCTCCGGGATCAATCCCTGGTATCAAAAAAGAAAAAAAAATGCATTGAAATAAAATGTACAAATGAAATATGCCTTTTTAAATTTTGCAAGATCAAGCAACCAGCAGCACCATCTAACTCCAGAATATTCTATCACCCCCCAAACAAACCTGTCCCCATTAGCAGTTTCTCCCCATTCTTCTCTTCCTCCTGTCCCTGGCAACTACTAACCTGTTTTATGCACCTATGGATTTGCCTATTCTGGGAATTTCACACTAGCAGACTCACAGGTGACTGTGTGTGTCTGGCTTCTTCCACCTGGTGATGTCCCCAGGCCCCCCTGCTGTTGGCACGCATCGGGCACCTCCTCTGTGTCCTGGTGGAGTCACGTTCCATTGCAAGCACATGGCACACTTTGCTTCTCCACTTGTCAACCCATGTGCCTTGGGTGGTCTTCTCTTTCTGGCTCTGCGACTAATATAGTTGTGAATGTGCAGGAGCATGTGTTTAGGTAGGCTTCATTTTATCCATTTTTGGGGCATATTCCTAGAAATGGAATTGGGTCATATGGTAACTATGTTTCATTTTTGAGGAAACACCAAACCCTTTCCCAAAGGGCCTGCATCATTTCACAGTCCCTCCAGTGATGTACAGGAGTTACAATTTCTCCACACTCTGAATAGCACTTGCTATTGTCTATCTCTTTGATTGTCACCATCCTAGTGTGTGAGGTGGTTTACACAGAGGCCCTTGCTTCAGAACTTTATGGTATATGAAAAAAAATCATATCCTAAAAAATTCATTATGGCCAGAGAAATAAAGCCCCTTTTCTGAAGTCTTTGCCTGCTGCCAGTCTCAATTCTACATTGCTTATGCTAATCAGTTAATGCTCATTTAGACTTCAGACTTCATTATCTTTTAAGATTAGACCAAGAGTATTTTCTTTATTCCACCCCAAATATATATGTTCTCTCATCTGGAGCAGTGTCACTCCACAGGCCTGCTGTATACTGAGTTGAAAAACACCTGAAGGATCCACTGTTATCAAAGAATCAGAATATCTGAAATCTCCAAGAATATAGGGTTTAATTCTTGACCTGGTCCCTCTGGCTAAAACACTTATGGCTGACTATAAGAGTATCATAGGAAAGAACTGTTTTCCCTTGAATTTTATATTTCATGTTAGCTTAGAAGTATTATTTAAGAGAAAAATAAAAATAAAAATATGTTCTACTAATTAGGGTGCTGAGAAAACTGGAAATCCATATGCTGCATAATGAAATTAAACCCCTATCCCTCTCTCACCCTGCATGAATCTCAACTCAAAGTGGATCAAGGACTTAGGTACTAGAACAGAGACCCTGCACCTAATAGAAGAAAAAATAGGCCCAAATCTCCACCATGTTGGCTTAGGAACTGACTTCCTTAACAAGATTCCTAAAATGCAAGAAGTAAAATCAAGAAGCAATAAATAATATGGAATCAAACTAAAAAGCTTCTTCACAACAAAAGAAACAATCATGAACATGAAGAGAGAGCCTATAGTGTAGAAGGCCGGCTGGCTGCAAAATAACCGGGGGGTGACGAATAACTTGTGTACGTTGATACAGCAGGAGTAGGAGCCGTTTATTGCAGGACAGGAGCAGTATTTATACATTCCACACAGCTTATCTAATTATACATCAGTCAACCAATAAGGAATCTCCACACTTAATGGCTCGCTTTTGTTACTTCTCAAACCACTCCCTCTGGCATTTTGCCAGGCACCATCCAGACTTGTTTACGAACTCTAACATTCCCCTGGCAAAATGCCAGGTGTTATTTTTGACTTGTTTACAGACTCTAACACTATAGAGTGGGAGAAAATCTTTACCACCTGCACCTCAGATAGGGCATTAATCTCCAGGATATCTAAAGAACTCAAAAAACTTAACACCCAAAACCCACATAATCCAGTCAATAAGTGAGCTAAGGAACTGAACAGATATTTTACAGAAGAAGAAATACAATTGGTCAACAAATATATAAACAAATGTTCAACACCTGTAACAATTAGGAAATGCAAATTAAAACTACACTGAAATTTTTTCTCACTCTAGTCAGAATGGCAATTATTAAGAATACAAGTACAAATAAATGTTGGTGAGGATGTGGGGAAAAAGGTACACTTATACATTGCAGGTGGAACTGCAAATGGGTGCAACCAATTTGGAAAGCAGTATGGAGATTCCTTAGAAACTTGTAATGAAACTACCATTTGACCCAGTTCTCCCACTCCTCAGTTTCTACCTAAATGTGACGCAGTCACATCAATGTTTATAGCAGCTTAATTCACAATAGCTAAACTATGGAACCAACCTAGGTGCCCTTCAACAGATGAATGGATAAAGAAAATGTGATATATATATATAATGGAATATTACTCAGACTTAAAGAAGAATGAAATTATGGTATTTGCCAGTAAATGGATGGAGCTGGAGAATATTATGTTAAGCAAAATAAACCAACACCAAACAATCAAAGGCCGAATGTTTTCTCCCCTATGTGGATGCTAATTCACAATAAAGGGAGGGGGCTAGTGAAGAATAGAGGTACTTTGAATTAGACAGAGGGGAGTGAAGGGAGGAAAGGGGGCATGAGGGTAGGAAGGATGGTAGAATGAATTGGACATCATCACCCTAGGTGCATATATATCTACACAACTGGTGTAATTCTACATCATGTACAACCAGGAGAATGAGAAGTTATACTCCACTTATGATGCATCAAAATGCATTCTCCTGTCATGTATAACTAGTTAAAACAACAACAACAAAAAGAATGTAAAAGAACGAGTATAAAAAAGTTCATTGAGAGCCAAGAGAATACAGATAAACAGTTTAAATGAAATTAGGAAGACAATGCAGGACACAGATAAGAAATTCAGCAGAGATTTTGAAAAGAACTAAGCAGAAATCCTAGAAATGAAGAGCTTAATAAATCAAATATAAAATACAGTTAAAAGCCTGAAAACAGACTAGTTTTAGCAGAAGAAATAATATCTGAACTTGAAGAACAATTTGTCCTAATATCCCAGATTTAAAAAAATAATGGTGAGATCATTCAAACTCTTTGGGACACCATTCAATGACAGGCATCTGCATTTCTGGAATACCTAAAGCAAGGAGAAAAAAGTGAGGCTTGTGTAAAACCTGTTCAGTGAAATACTAGCAGAAAATCTTTTGATCTTGGTGAAGACATGGATGTCCAAGTACTGGAGGCTTACAGGACCCCAAACAGATGTGGCCAGAATACATCTTGACCACAACATCCCAAAGCTCTTAAAAATAGAAGACAACAAAAGTTTTATAAAATCAGCAAGAGAAAAGTGCCAAAAAGAGTATCACCAATGAGATTAAAGCAGATTTCTCAGTATAAACCCTACAAGTGAGTGAGAAATGGAATGGCATGTGAGAAATCTTGAAAGAAAATAACCGCCAATCAAGGTTAGAATGTCCAGAAGGCTATGCTTCAGAAAGTGAGGGAAATAAGTCTTGAGACAAGAAAAAAGGGAGGGAATGCAGGAACCCAGACCAGCTGTATGGAAGAAGTGAAAGAAAGATAGCTACCATTGTGAAAGCATGTGACAGTGTAAGTCCCATAAGAAGAGGAGACAAAAAGGAGAAATAGAAAATAGCATTATTAATAGAGTGTACCATCAAATCACAAGAGGGAAGAGGAAAAAAAGATGTTTAAAGGACACAAATCCTTACGCATCAGTGACAGCCTTGAATGTAAGCGGACCAAGTTCTCCAGTTAGAAGATAGGGACTGGCTGAATTGATTGAAAATTAAAGCCAAACAACACGTGGCCTACAAGAACCCGCTTTACCCATAAAGACACACAGACTATAAGTGAAATGATGGAAGTGATATTCCAAGCACGTAGAAAACTAGTTACCTTAAGGCAAAAACTGTAAGAGGTAAAGTAAGTCATTGTGCAATGACCATGGGATCAGTTCAACAAGATGTCATGGTTGTCCATCTACATGCACCTCATATCAGAACTCCCAGTTTTATAACAACAGTAACAGACGTGGGGAGAGATGTCCTCCAATAGAGCAATGCTGAGGTTCTTCATTGCACCAGTGGATAGATCATCCAGACAAAGAATCAGCAAAGAAACTCAGAGTTAAGCTGCACTCTAGACCAAATGGACCTAATGGCTTTCATTGAACATCATCTCCAAAAGATGCTTAATCCTGTTGGATCTCACTGAGCTTTTAAAACAAACATTCTTTATCATTCTTTTCATAAGTACTTTCAACTTTCTCTAGCATAGATCACGTAGCCAGACACATAAGTCTTGAACCCCCCCAAATTGACATCACATCCTATATTTTTTTCTGATCACAATGGAGCAAATCTACAAGTCAATAAGAAACTAAATTTTAGAAATTATACGAATGCATAGAGACTGGACAGTACTTTTGAACAGTGAGTTTTCAAGGAAGTTGGAAGGAAGTTAAAACATTTATCAAAATAAATGATATGGAAACACAAAACACCAAAACGCGTTCAATGCAGCAAAAGTGGGAGCGGCTTTCACAGCAAGGAGTGCAGGGCATGCACAAGAGCTAAGGAAAGGAGCGTGCACAGGAAAGAGCGCATGCGCAAGGCAGGAAGGAGGCCACGTACCCCAGGAAGCATCTCACAGGCTTAGAAAAGCAAGGACAGACCAAACTCGAAATTCACATATCAGCACAGAAATAAACAAAATAGAGACTAAAAAGAATACAAAACATCAGTGAACCAAATGGTAGGGTTTTTCTTTTTCTTTTCT